ACAGAACCTGACAGAAATTCTGCATGGGAGGCATATACTATCAATGAGTTTAAAAATCTTAAAGTTACTGATTCTTTAAGATTCAAAGAATCAGTAATAATTGAGGCCATCAATTCAAAATTCAAAAAATGTAGAAAACGTAAAAATGATATTAATCATGTTGAATCATCTCAAAAACAAGTTAAAATAGATCCTAAGGAACCTGAATTTACAACATCATCTCCATCTCTACTTTAATAATTTATTTTATTTTATTATTATTTTTTTATTTTTGTTATATTTTTTATTATATTAAATAAATCATCCAACTAGTTTAATAACCAGTTGGATTTTTAATTATGTAAACTAAAAATGACTACTGCCAAAAAAGAAAAAAAAGTAAGTTGGCTGTGCCATTTTACTTTGTATTTGTGAATTCGAATTATGCTGCCATAGCAAAATAGAAGTATATTCTGAATGTATACTTATGTATGCTGAGGTTATATTCTATTATTTTGTAAGAAACTGATATCAGAATTGGAGTTATATCTTTGAGATGCTGGTATTGCAAACACTGGTAAAGAGAATTCTCATACTCATATTTTTTTATTTTAGATAACAACTATCAATCTGGTCATGATTTTGAACTAATTATTCGAAAAATAGCTAAAGATTTTGGATTATTAGCTTTTGATGTTAAAGTAAATCGTAGAGATAATAGTATCAATATTATCATAACATATAAGCAAAAACTTATTCTTGTTCAATGTAAAAACACTGAGATGCCTATACCTGTTCAAATTGTATGAGTTTTTGAATTAGCTATTTCAAGATTTGCATCTAATTCTCTTAGAATCATCGTGTATAATAGTGAAAAGTTAAAAGAAAAAGGAAAGTTTGCAACTCTTAAAGCAAAACAATGGGCATATACATCAAAAAGAAATATCAAAATTTGTAATGAAAATCAGTTTGTAGGAATTATTAAGGAGTTTTACAAATCAGATAATGATGATTATGTAGAGTTAGTTGATTATAAAGCCGAT